TTTTGGTCAGTGGCCCACTGGCACTCGGCCACAACACCTGCGCACCGCATACAAATGGCAAATGGAGCGGCTCATTTCTGGGACTCTGGCTATTTTCGGTTCGCACGGAGGCCTGATGAATGGCCTGGCATCGATTTGGAGTCCGATTTGGATGAGTTTTGGATGGGCTTGTGGACTCGACTTGGCTTTTGGCAGACATTGCATCACTGGGCTGCCAGTTGTTCAAATTGTCTTATTTTTATTTCTTTTTAGCCACGTTTTGAGTGCAGGCGAATGGCGAGTGAGAAAGCAAAGTGTGGCAATCAATGACGACATCAAAACCGAAGACTACTGCACCAGCGGGTTTGACCAGCTGGTGGAGCTATTAAAACAGCTGATTTTCTCCGAACCGACCGATAAGCGGCAATAAGTGCACTCAGAAAAATAAGCACCTAAAACCTAAACATGTATAAAGAGTAATTATAATGTATGGAAAAAAGAAAACGAGAAAATAAGTTTAGTATACCTATAAAAAGTTTCCTAATATCTATTAATTATAAAAAAAAAAACTTAATTTAAAAATTGTGTTTTTAAATCGATTGTTTCACATTTGCAGCTAAAAGATATATGTATGTATAAAAGTATATAACCAATTTAAAGTTTTAGTTTTCTTAAAAGCTTATTAGACTTTGGCTAAGATATCATACGATCTAATAATATCACAAACAACAAAATTAAGAATACTTCAGGCGTAATAAATATTTTGTCGACTGATCAAAACAAGTTCAAAGATCTTTCGGTTTTTCAAGAAAAGTAATAAGCTTAAACTTTTCCAGAAATTTAAAAGAATGTAAATGATAATTTATTTTGAGAATTACTGGGCTGAATTATACGTTCCATTTTATGTCATTCTGATAAGGATTTCTTATGAATTGTTTTTGTTTACTGATAATCTTAATTAAACGACTTTTTGCATGAGCAAAATGTTCTACGATGCATTTTCAATTTCCCGAATGAGTCTGCTGCCATTATTAGATACAGCTCCCCCTCTTCTATTTCAATTAAACTCAACAGAAGGAGTAAATATTCAGTAGTTTATTTAAATAGAAACATGTTTTTCAGACTTTTGTTAGAGCAGACTCGCACATTCACTCACATTCCGCACTCATTTACTCACACGCTTAACCAAATAGTTGATGGCTGTTAGATAATTAGCAAAATATGTACAAATATTTGAGGGTGGCGGTAAATAGATTAGAGTCGGATCAGAGTAGCTGCCCCGCCCCCTAAGCCGCCCACCTCAATTAGGCGCCAATTGTTCTTCCCCCAAAGAAATCTGACGTCAAGCCAATTTGGCCTGCTCTATTGTCTCTTGACTCTTTTTCTGCCGAACAACACTCTCGATCCAATCCGTATATTCGGCCACGTTAGTATAAACGGCGGGCTTTCCAGCCATTCCACACTGGGTGAATCCGTAGCTAACCACGCCGTGGGCCACCCACCGGGAATGTGGGCGATCGAAGTACATCAGAGGTCCTCCGGAATCGCCGGCACATGTGTCCTTCGCGAATTCCCCGCCGGCACAGATTTGTTTTGGACCCAGTCGCACTCCGAATCCCTCCAGAATCTTGGTGCAGTTCTCATTCGAGACATACGGAATGCGCAGCTTTAGTTTTATGGGACTGTGAATGTTGATGAAGTACTTGTTGACTGCAAGAGAAAAATATGTATTAATATAATTTTAAGACTTTTTCTTAGGGGTAATTTTAACTATTTTAGTTTCTCATTTTTATCTGGATATTTGGAGTTTTAAATAACCAAAAATATCTTGAACAATGTAAAATTGGACGTTGAAGTATGGACATATGAAATTGACTTTTACAACATTGATTACACATTTTCGGTAGGCGAACAAAATTAACATATGGGATTGTTTTAACATCAGACTTCCTTATTGAATGAAGTTAATGAAAACCACATAAACGTCTGGGAAAAAACCCATGTATTGGTTTTTTTTTGAAAACTCACATTAACAAACCGGTGTTTAGGAATATTTTTTCTTTCCTCAGTTATGCCATTATTATTGTTTTTAGTTGAAACATGGCTTTACAGAGTGAGCAACATGTTATTAGATAACGCAGTATATTTTTTATTCCCTGAAATTCTTTAAATATAATTGATATATACTCACACAAATCCGTGCGACCCCATCCGGAAACGGAAAACATCTGACCCTCTGCCAAAGTCAGAGGCTCTGACTTATTCGGCAGACAAATGGGCATGACAAAGTGGGTGAAGGATACTGGATGCTTCAGTCGGATAATAGCAATATCATTGTACTTATAGTTTGAGAACTCCTTGTACTCTGGATGCACATGGATCTTTTCATAGCCAATATCCAAAGCGGCATCTGCGCAGCTCAAATAATTTGGCTCCTCAATGCAATCGGGTTCTGTTTTCACATTAAACTCGCCCAAACGCACATGCTTTCTATTGGAATATAACAAATCCGTATAGAGATTGTGTGATATATATTTTAACTCCACTTACAATCCTCGTCGATCACGAACTCCTTCGCCTTGAACGCAATGTGCTGCTGTTAGGATATGACGATCATCGATTAGGGCCCCACTGCAGCCATAGTCATCTAAGAAATATTGGGAAGATATTTAAAAACTTAGTTATATTATTGATTAAATAAAAAAAATATATAATATGGTAAATTGATGTGTCTGTGTGCTAAAATATGGTCAAATAAAATACAAATAACCAAAAGTGACACATTACCATTTTAATTAAGATATTCTATTGGACAGATAAACTTTTTCCAAAAAGCATGTAATGTAAGCCATTCATTGGCACATTAAGTAAAACCTGCCTACATAAAAAAAAATAAACTTAATTTTGTGATGGAACAGCATAGGTTTACTGTCACTATAAATCACTTTTTAAGAATCTATAATTATTGAGCTCGAACTCCTGGACTCACTTGAGTTGTAGACGAGCAAGGCTAGCCAGGGATATTCATCCAGTTCGGCGATTTCCCCTCCGTAAATTCGGTTGGTCACCTGCTTGCCGCACTCGTTCAAAAGATTGAATCCGGAGCTTGGTTCCACGGTTTGAATGCGGCGTTTAAGTTTTTTGCGCTTGAAGCGAGCAGTGACGTCCAGAAACCTGCGATACTCAAACTTGGAGAACTGCAGCACGGGAAATAGATAATCCTGTCCATTTGCCGGGCAGCAGACGAGGGATTCGTAGGCACCCTTGGCCTCTGCCACTTTCTGCTCCACCTCGCATTGCACTTTCTTCAGGAAATTCACCTTCTCCGACGGCAGATTGGTGGCGTTTCTCACTTGGAGATACGCCGCACATTTGCTGACCTCCAGGCAAACTCCCCTTTTGGTTTCATTGGGAATATCACACTCCTGAAAAATCTCGGCCAAGAAGCTGTGGAAACAGCCGAAGAATATCCATAATCGAAAGACCGAACGAAGCATAGGTACAAGTATCTATATGATCTGGGCGAATCACAGATACAATCTACGAGCGATCGTGTTGGCAAGAAGAAGCGGCGGCAAAGGCTTTCGAACCAAAACTGAATGGCAACGCAGTTTGTATAGGCAGAGTGCCAAAAAAAAAACCAAAGAAATAAGATAAACGAAGCGAAAAAACCGAAGACCCCGAAAAGTCGGAAGAGCCGAAGACCCCGACTCTACAAAGCTCCAACTCAGGTGTCAACAAATGAGCCCGCCCCCGCCCCATTTAGGCGGCGAAAAACGAGTCCAAAAGTGCAGTGGTCGGCAGGTCGACCGATCGATCGTCCGGATGGTCCGGTTATAATGTATTGCGTAACCATAACCAACTCAGCTGGCCAGCTGGTTTCACTTTCGTTGAAGGTGAGAGAGTGACTTGGCCAAAGCTCGGCCCGAAACCTATTGCCCACTTTTAGGTGGCCCATTGCCAAAGCTCTACCCATTCGTTTTGGCCAAAGTCCACGGCTCAAAACACCTGCCAATACCGGAAGTTTTCTTGTGGTTTTCTGCCGCCGTAAAAGCCACCAATTAAAACGCGGTGGCAATGTCATTTCGACTTGCGATTGTTTGCTGTGCCGCATTCTGCTGGGAAAATCCAAAGGTTTATCGGAGGTCAATCACCTTGGGGTCAAATTGATACAATAGTCCAATGTTATGAAATATTTATTTATTTTTGTTTTTTTTTTGTAGCACATTGATGTTTATCTCTAGCTGCAAATATATCGTTCGTCAACTAGACTAAGAGAAACTTCGTTGATTTTCCTTGGCGTTTTTTTTTCCTCGGCGTAAATCGCATTGTAACAATATCTAATACATATCTCTATTAAAAAATAAACTAATCATTTACTGAATCCCAAATCTAATTTAACATATATATAATTTATATTATATATATTTTTAATGACATTATGAATAACAAGGAATATTGTTTGCATTGTTATTGATAAGCTGCGGACTTTATGAGGAAACAAATAAGTCGCTGTGGAAACGTGATTGCCAAATATTATGAAATTCAGTCTAAAATTAAAAACTCGAAGAAGATAAGATGTTAAACCTGCGCAGGTTTCGTTTGACAAATCGAAGTATTTGTGCAAATATGCTTTTTGCTAACGATTATTAGGTTTAATAAGGTCCCAAATGGAAAACTTTCCACTGGTTCAAACCTTGGTGATAATATATCGCCTTGGTAATCTCACAGAGAAACCATCAGACCACTTAGCATTCATGAAAACCCACCAAGGGGGTTTTCCGACCGTACAAGATCCGAGACTTCATGTTGTGGGATATTCCTCAACTGAACTTGACAGAAAGCATAGTAATCTAATCGGTAGAAAACCGGATCAGTTTTATATAAGTCAAACTAGCTTTTGGGGCAATAGGAGGTAAAAAAACCTGGAAGTCGCCATTGGACCATAAACACATATTTATTTTTAGCAAATTCATTATTTTGTTTGTAAAAAGCACCAAACGGGACATTGTAATTTCTTCCTAAGGCCTCACTTTTTCCCTAATCCAAGAATCATATACAGACACGTTGGTGTAGACTGCAGGCCAACCCTTTTGACCACATTTGTACCCTAAAGACACGATTCCTTGCAGGACCCAAACACCCTTGTGGTATGACATCAATGGTCCTCCAGAATCTCCATCGCAGCTATCAACCAGATCTTCACCTCCAGCGCAAATCTGAATGGGTTCCAAGGCGATCTTCTTAGATAAGTATTTAGGACGACAATCCTCATACTCCCAAAGGCGAACCTGCACTTTCTGTTTGGTGGGACTACTGATGCCATCCAAAGTACGACCCCATCCTGCCACGGTGAAATGCTGACCGGCTTGCATCCTTACTCTGCCCACAATCGAGGGCAGACATATAGGTCCAATTGTTGACGAATAGGAAACCATTCTCGCCAAACGGAGTATGCCAATATCGTTCAGTTTATTGGATCCGCCGACATATCTTTCGTGACTGTGTATTTCTTCAATGCCTATTGTTACAGCTTCTGAATAGCATATTCCTCCTTGGCAATCCTCAACGGTACGAGTGTCATGCTCACCCAATCTTACAGAGACCCTAAAATCAGAAAAAATATTATTCACTACAAACAAATGTTTAAAAGCGAGCTTCTTACGGTGTATCAACCAGACAGTGAGCTGCTGTTAAAACATATCGACGATTGAGCAGCGATCCCGCACACTTGGTTACTAGATCACCTCCATTTGGGGGACGATACTCCAACAATACCATCCAGGAAAACTCACTGGGTACCGCTTCCTCTCCATTCAGGATTTTGGTGTTGACGATATCACGTCCACAAGAATTTTGATCAGGAAGCAAATTAAAATGGTTTAAAATGGGAGGAGGCCTGCTAACAAAATTGGTATTGCCATCCCAAATAGTAACAGTTCTGTCAAAATCTTTATCTCTAGTACAGCAGACAAAGATCTGGTTATTCTTCCTATTTCCGCAACGGGATTGCTGGATGAATAGCTTCTCCGAATCGGTCAGGCTGCTCTTCTCCAAAACGGAAATAAGGGTCGTACACAAGGAGATATGGAGACAAAGTCCAGTCCGTTGATTGGGGTTTCGACATCCAGAATCTTCAAGAGAGATTAAAGCAATTAGATTTTCTTAAAAAAAGGGTTTCATTTCGATGACCTTTTGTTTAAATAATTAAGAACAATGTATCTTTAAGTCACCGCTTGCCGTTACGCACGACCAAAACAAGGGTTATGTCACGTTTTCTTCCATTTTTTCGATTTCTATAATATTTTTTAAAGTTCTCTTACACTGAGCACGGGCCTCGCCGACTATCAGAATGCACAATAAAACAGCAGCTAATACTTTCATTATTCCGTAATTGTTTTTCATCACTCTTGACGTCGATCTGTTCCAAGTGTTCGAAAAAAACTGATGGTCAGCTTATCTGTTTACGAGCTTTTATAGCCGGAGATTCAGTGATTGTGGTCGCCAAAAAAAAACAGGCATCAGACATTGCATCGAACAGAATTAAAGATAAGAGACTGGCAAATTTATTGTTTCTTATTTGTGGAAATACATTTTTTTTGAGTAATACCCAGTTATTAATGCATATATAAGATCACAACTTTCATATTTAGCTTGAACCAGGGGAGTGAAGTGTTATCCCTAAACCGCATAAGAGGCCTAAGGACAAAGGCAAGGAGGCATCCTGCGAAAATCGGTATCCTGCTGCATGTAAATATTCGGCTATCTATGCTGGGATGTCCGAAGACATTGCACCTCTGAATCGGTTAATTTGATTTTTATACCCTTGCAGAGGGTATTATATCGGAAAACAAAATTCAAAAAATTATAACTTTGTTGTCTTTAATTTTTTTTTGTTCTTTGGGTCTTAGTAATAAATAAAGATAATGGAATTACGGTTTTAATTTAATTAAAATCGGAGAACAATATCATATAGCTGCATAGAAACGATCGCAAAATGCAGCGCAAAGACGACATAGCTAACATACATTATCGATATATGCATCTTATAATTTAAATTGTATAGATTAAAGTTTTAGATCTTAGAAAAATATATTTTACTTTTATCTGGCTCTCTTAAAGCTGGCAAGTACGTAATCTGTTTATTAGTTTTGTTTATTATTAGCTTCGAAGCCTGCTCTCTTGATCGCATCGGTTTAAAATGCCTTTCAGGAAATTCCCGATAATAAATAATAATTATCGAAAAAAATAAAAAAAACCGGCAAAATATATTTGTCATTCTATGGCAGAAAGCTTGATAATCTAAAATAAATGGGGTTCAACGTTAATATAGACAAATAGTGCCTTTATTTGCATGGAATAAAATGATATAAGAATAGTTAATAGAATAGATAAGACCAAAATTTGTTAAAGAAATATATAGAATAAAATGATATGTGAAAATTTGGTATTTAAAATAGAATAGTTAATAGAATAGATAAGACCAAAATTTGTTAAAGAATAAAATAATATAAGTAAAATTGGTATAATAGAATAGATAAGACCAAAATTTGTTAAAGAAATATATAGAATAATATGATATATGAAAATTTGGTATTTAAAATAGAATAGTTAATAGAATAGATAAGACCAAAATTTGTTAAAGAATAAAATAATATAAGTAAAATTGGTATAATAGAATAGATAAGACCAAAATTTGTTAAAGAAATATATAGAATAATATGATATAAGTAAAATTGGTATTAAAAAAAGAATAGTTAATAGAATAGATAAGACCAAAATTTTGACTTGGGGCTTGTGGAAGTTCGAATCGCTTCTAAGCCCGCATATTCTGCCTGATCCAGATGTCGTACGCAGCAACGTTCGTGTAGACACCGGGCCAATCCTTGAGACCGCACTTGTAGCCAAAGGACACGATGCCCTCCAGGACCCAGGAATCGCCACGGAATCGCATCAGAGGTCCGCCAGAGTCGCCACCGCAGCTGTCCTTCCCGAACTTTCCGCCGGCACAGAGTTGTGTGGATTTCACGTATATTTCGATACCCCAGTATTTTTGGCTACACTTGGCGGGATCCACATAGTTGACGGTCACCTTTTGCTTGATGGGACTAAGGGCCATCTTGAGAGTACGGCCCCATCCAGCCACCGTGAATTGCTGACCGGACCCACAGACGAGGGCAAGCAAATAGGTCGAATGTTATCCGAGTAGCGGACACTCCGCTCCAAACGAATCAAACCGAATATCGTGCACATAGTTTTTGGACTGCTCGCTATATCCTTCGTGGGCCCGGATCTCGGCGAAGCCCAAACGCTGAACCTTCGAGCAACTTCCTCCGCCAGCTAGGCAGTCCACGGCCGTACGTGTGTCATGCTCGCCTAATCTCACGGAGGCACTGAAACAAATAAGAAAACAACAAATTAATGAGCATTTAAGCCATTAAACACTAAAATTAACCAGCTAATTGAAGCTTGAGCAGAGCCTATTATTAACTTTTTGCTGTCCTGCCTTTCATAAATAACTTAGATTCCATGAAATATATAATAAAGTCCCGCCACCTGCTTCTGTACAAATTAATTCCTGTACACAATGTTTCCCTTATATACTTACAGTTGTCCGATTTCGCTTTCGATTCTTCCCGTTAGACAATGGGCAGCTGTGAGGACATACCGCTGAGTGATCAGGGAGCCTGCGCAGCCGATGGACAGACTCCCGTTTCGGTTGTGGTACTCCAACAAAACCATCCAGGGAAATTCATTGAGATCGGTGTCCTTGCCATTGTAAATTCGGTTCCTGGCGTTCTTGGTGGCCACGCCCCCGCAGATGGGCGGCTGGGGAAGCAAGGCCTCCTGGTCTTCGAAGCACCAGGGCCGATTTTTCTGCTTGATCATAGTCTTAAAACGTGTCCTGCACTGGTTTCTGGCATAACCCGTATCCTCAGTGCAACAGAAAGTAAAAACATAGAAGTCGCAATAATTCCATAAACAAGTCAGAGGTCTTTTTTTCATTTGTAATATTTATTCTTGGCTAAATCCTTGCAGTGATTATAATTCATGCTCTCTGTTATTCTAAATAGCACCAATTTTAATTTCCTCCTAAGGCCTCATTTTTTCCCTAATCCAAGAATCATATACAGAAACATTGGTGTAGATGGCCGGCCAATTCTTTGCACCACATCTGTACCCAAAGGACACAATTCCCTGCAGGACCCAAACACCTTTATGGAATGACATCAGTGGGCCTCCAGAATCTCCATTGCAGCTATCAACCAGATCTTCTCCACCGGCGCAAATCTGACTGGGTCCCACGGCGATTTTCGCTGATAAGTATATTTTGCGACACTTGTCATACTTCCAAAGGGGGACCAGCACTTTCTGTTTAGTGGGACTACTGATTTCATCCAATGTACGACCCCATCCTGCAACTGTCAACCGATCACCGTCTTGCATCCTTACTCTGCCCACAGTCGAGGGCAGACATATAGGTCGAATTTTGGCGTATAGGAAACCATACTCGCCAAACGGAGTATGCCAATATCGTTCAAGTTATTGGATCCTCCGACATAATCTTCGTGAATGTGTTTTTCTTCAATGGCCATTCTTAAAACCTCTGAATAGCATTTTCTTCCTTGGCAATCCTCAGCGGTACGTGTATCATGCTCTCCCAATCTCACAGAGACACTAAAAAAATCAGGCAATATTATTGACAATAAAGTACATTTTACAAAGGCACTTTCTCACAGTGTTCCGACCTGTCTCAAATGATATTCATAGAGACAGTGAGCTGCTGATAAGACGTATCTGCGGTTGATTAGCGAACCCGAACAGTTGGTTCTCAGTTCACCTCCATTTGGGGGACGATACTCTAATAATACCATCCATGAAAACTCACTCGGTACAGCTTCTTGTCCATTCAGGACTTTGGGGCTGACAATATCACCTCCACAAGAATATTGATCAGGAAGTAAATTAGAAGGTTCGGCAACTGAAATGGCAGCAGAAGTCCTAACAAAATCGGTATCCTCAGTACAGCAGGCAAAGACCGGGTCGTTTCTGTCATATTCACAACGGGATTGTTGTACAAATTGCCTCTCCGAATCGGTCAAACTGCTCTTCTTCAACACGGATACCAGTGCCGGACACAAGTTGATATTTATACAACGCCCCATCCGTTGATTGGGATTTCGGCATTCTAAATCTGCGCGATTAAAATACAATTTTGTTTAGCTGGGACTTGCACTATGTTTTTTTCACTTACACTGGACACGAGCCTCGCGGACAATCAGCATGCAGATAAAAACAGCAATGAACACTTTCATTTTCGCTATGCTTTGTTTGATCACTCTCGCCTTTGAATGGTTCCAGGTTCTTTAAAAGATAACCGAAGTGCATGAGCTTTTATAGGCAAAGCGTACTGGACTGCATGCGCTCTTTCGGTTTGCAATCGGAAAGTTTGATGTCCCATTAAGATTAATTAGAAATTCCCAGCAAATCATAAAAATGTTATAACAGGCGAGGGAAATTTTGTCGGCCAAAGGTAATTATATTATATTCGTATCGCCATAAAGAATTGCGAAATTAAAGCTATATGTTTGTTTGTGTGCACACCTTTTTGGATTTTTTAAACTCAACAAAATTTTACTGCTAAGAGATTTTTCAACTTTTTATTGATTTTCCAACTTGGAACATGAGGGAGCTGAAAAAAATGTTTATACCAGACTTTTACTTGGAAGGAATGTCCTGTTTGCCCAATATCACAAAGACCATTAAAAGTATATTTAAAAATAAGAAACAACACCTTAAAATGATCAAAGAATAAGTTCATTACGTGTCTTGCCAAACAAAAAGCATACATATTTCTTATAGATCAGCGATTCCGAACAATCGGCCATACAAAATGAAATGTTATAATTTTAAGTTGCATCATAGGTAGATCAACTCGACCAACTCGTTGCATACTGAAAAATAATTTCCTGAACATTTACGATACTGAAATAGAACCATCAAGGAAAATTCATTGCGATCTGTATTTTGTATAGAATATTCCACGCCAAATAAAATAAATAAGCTAGGAAATCAGAATTTTCTTTTGATAAACTTATATTTTTATTGTTTCGTTTTTATGTTTGTTTATACATAAGGTGGAGTTTGATTCGCTTCTAAGGCCTCATTTTCTCCTTGATCCAGGCGTCGTAAGAAGAAACTCTTGTGTAGACACCCGGCCAATTCTCCGCACCACAAAGGTACCCAAAGGACACAATTCCCTGCAGGACCCAAACACCTCGATGGAATAACATCAGTGGTCCGCCGGAATCCCCTTCACAGCTGTCAATGTCCTTCTTTCCGCCGGCGCAAATCTGACTAAGTTCCACGGTAGTGTATCTACTTAGGTATCGACGATTGCACAGATCGTTATCCCACAAGTCGAGCTGGACTTTCTGCTTCGTGAAACTACTGTTGCCTTGCATAGTGCGACCCCATCCTGCCACGGTCAACTTCTGACCGGCTTGCATCCACACTCTGCCCACAGTCGACGGCAGACAGATAGGTCGAATTGTTGGCGAATAGGAAACCTTATGCTCCAAACGGAGCAAACCAATATCGTTCAAGTAATTGTCTCCGTCGATATAGTTTTCGTGATAATGGATCTCTTCAATTCCCATTTGTACAACCTCTGAATAGCACTTTCTTTCTTGGCAATCCTCAGCGGTACGTGTATCATGCTCTCCCAATCTCACAGATACACTGAAAAAAACAGGCAATATTATTGACAATAAAGTACATTTTACAAAGGCAATTTCTCACAGTGTCCCGATGTATCTCACATGATATCCAGTGAGGCAGTGAGCTGCTGTTAAAACGTATCGGCGATTGATCAGAGATCCCGAACAATTCGTTTGCAGTTGACCTCCATTTAGGGGACGATACTCCAACAATACCATCCAGGCAAACTCACTGGGTACCGCTTCTTCTCCATTCAGGACTTTGGGGCTGACGATATCACCTCCACAAGAATCTTGATCAGGAAGCAAATTAGAAGGTTCGTTATCTAAAATGGGAGGAGGCCTGCTAACAAAATTGGTATTGCCATCCCAAATAGGAACAGTTCTGTCAAAATCTTTATCTCTAGTACAGCAGACAAAGATCTGGTTATTCTTCCTATTTCCGCAACGGGATTGCTGGACGAATAGCTTCTCCGAATCGGTCAGGCTGCTCTTCTCCAAAACGGAATTAAGGGTCGGACACAAGGAGATATGGACACAAAGTCCAGTCCGTTGATTGGGGTTTCGACATCCAGAATCTTCAAGAGAGATTAAAGCAATTAGATTTTCTTAAAAAACAGGGTTTTATTTCGATGATCTTTTGTTTAAATAATTAAGAACAATGTATCTTTAAGTCACCGCTTGCCGTTACGCACGACCAAAACAAGGGTTATGTCACGTTTTCTTCCATTTTTTCGATTTCTATAATATTTTTTAAAGTTCACTTACACTGAGCACGAGCCTCGCCGACAACCAGAATGCACAATAAAACAGCAGCTAATACTTTCATTATTCCGTAATTGTTTTTCATCACTCTTGGCGTCGATCTATTCCAAGTGTTCGAAAAAAACTGATGGTCAGCTTATCTGTTTACGAGCTTTTATAGCCGGGAGATTCTTTGACCGTGGTCGCAAAAAAAAACACAGGCGTCGGAGATTGCATCGAACAGAAGCAAAGATAAGAGACTTTTAATTTTATTTTTTTTTATTTGTGGAAATAAATTCTTTTTGGGTAATACACAGAGATTAATGCATATTTAATGTCACAAGCTGATTTCATACTCAGCTTGAACCAGCGGACGCATTATGGGCCAAAGGCCAAATGCCAGGGAGATATTCTATTAAAATCATAATAATGATCCATGCAAAGATTCGGTTTTTCTTGCCATATACACATTGGAAGGTCCGAAGGCACTGCGTCTGTGAATCGGGCAATCTGCTTTGTTTCTTTATGAAACACTGTGGCAGGCACTGTTCATCAAATGAAGGCACATTATTGTTTTTTTGTTTTAATTTCACAGGCGACGAGAGTTGTGGGAGTAAAAGCTGGAAGGTAACAAAGAGTCCATGTTTGCTAGCAAATATACCCATATAAGTCTGATTTATGTAAAATTTTTATAAATATTCCAAAGGGTTATACAATTCTATGGTAAGTTTTATGCTAAACTTAGTATAGTTAAGATCACAATTTTGGCTTTGAGCTTGAGTAAGTTTGAATCGCTTCTAAGCCCGCACATTCTGCCTGATCCAGATGTCGTACGCAGCAACGTTCGTGTAGACACCGGGCCAATCCTTCAGACCGCACTTGTAGCCAAAGGACACGATGCCCTCCAGGACCCAGGAATCGCCACGGAATCGCATCAGAGGTCCGCCGGAGTCGCCATCGCAGCTGTCCTGTCGGAACTGTCCGCCGGCACAGAGTTGAGTGGATTCCACGGCGATCTTGATCTGCGAGAACCTTTGGCGACACTTGGCGGGGTCCACATAGTTGAGGGTCACCTTTTGCTTGATCGGACTACGGGCCATCTTGAGAGTACGGCCCCATCCAGCCACCGTGAATTGCTGACCGACTTGCCGCGCCTCCGGACCCACAGACGAGGGCAAGCAAATAGGTCGAATGTTATCCGAGTAGCGGACATTCCGCTCCAAACGAATCAAACCAATATCGTGCACTTGGTTCTTGGACTGCTCGCTATATCCTTCGTGGGCCCGGATCTCGTCGAAGCCCAAACGCTGAACCTCCGGGGCGCAACTTCCTCCGCCGGCTGGGCAATCCACGGCCGTACGTGTGTCATGCTCGCCCAATCTCACGGAGGCACTGAAACAAAAAAGAAAAAAAACAATTAATGAGCATTTAAGCCATTAAACACTAGAATTAACACGCTAATTGGGGCCTGGCCAACGGCGATATCGAGAGCGAAGCGAATCGAGAACCCGAACACTGAGTTAGTGAGTCATCAAAACAAGTTAGCAAGCGGCAAAACACCTCGCATCTGGCTGGTTAGAAGTTAATTAACATTCTTGAAATTGGCCAAGACTTATCTTGGGGATCCCTTAGGTCTCGTTTAGTGACTTAGCCGGAGAATGCAGCCGAGTTCGCGGAATTGTAACACAAATATGCATGAATAAGCCACTTTCGCCCACCCAGCAAAACTGGATTAGAGAGTAGTAGTCTTAATACGCGTAATATTGAAACTTGATTCACCGGCTATTGGGCTATTGAACTGCCGCCCATTCATGAATCGGTTCGTGAGAGCTATAGTAAATCCCCTAATGCTGTAGTCACAAACATCAACAGTCATTAATAATTTCGGAATATTCGGGATCTCTTTTAAAATGAATAATAAGAAAAGTGGCTTTTAAAGTCCCCTTATTCTACGTTAACAAACATCACCCGTGACATCACCTGTCTAAATCTTAGGGACTTTTGAAATACATTTATGTACACAAAACAATAAAAGTCACTTAGTAAGTTTACAGAAATCTTTAAGATATTAAAACACACTTGCGTTCAAAAGGAAAGTCCCATTTACCTTCATTTACAAATGTCTAAATCTTATATTAGGGTTGGAGTATATGCATAGTAAGAATCCACACTAACTTTTAGTAACAGAAAATCTATTTTCTTCACTGAAACTGTTGAATTCTGAATAAGGGTCATAAGAATGATTCAAATAAGTGTCTAACCCCGCCTCATAAATCACCGACATAATTTTTAAGAGACAAAACAGCGAAGCTTCTTTAAAGAATATAAAAAGTCCCCGCCGCAGCTTCTGTACACCATAAATCCTTATAAAAAAAAACCCCCTGGACATAATATCAACCTATAAATACTTACAGTGGTCCGATTTCGCGTTCGATTCTTCCAGTTAGACAATGGGCAGCTGTGATGACATAACGCTGATTGATCAGGGATCCTGCGCAGCTGGTGGACAGACCCCCGTTTCGATTGCGATACTCCAACAAAACCATCCAGGGGAATTCATTGAGATCGGTGTCCTTGCCATCATAAATCCGATTCCTGATGGCCACGCCCCCGCAGGAGGGCGGTTGGGGAAGCAAGCTGGAGCCATCAACACCAGTCGACGTCCTCTGGACTGAATTCCTTTCCCTGCCCTGCTGATCTCCAAAGCTCCATGGACGATTTTCTTGCCTGGAAAAGCCAAAACTCTTCGACCTCTCCTCCTCCCAATCGCCACCGAAGCCATCGTAGTCCGGAAAAGAGATAGTTCTGCGTTGGTTCCTGACATAACCCGTATCCTGAGTGCAGCAGACAAAGGGAAGATTATCAGCGCCCATTCCACAGGCCGAGGACTTAATGAACTTCCTCTGCAGATCGGTCAATCTGTCCTGCTGCAACACAGAATACAGAGTCTGGCACTCGTTTATGTGCACACAGAGTCCCTGCCTTTGGTTGGGATTCACGCATCGCGCATCTGCAAACGAGATAAATATATTATAATCTGGTTCTCCAGGGGATGCCCCGAGATGCACGCGCCTCTTCTGACATTCCTGCGGTTAAAGCCGGTGGTCAAGTCTTCGCAGATTGATCATGACACACTCAAAGAAACTTTAAGATAATTTGTTTCGCCTTGCATTTAATTATGAAATTAATTTAAGAATCCAAATTTGGATTTGAGCTGAATAAAATAAAATCTATCTTGACATTTTTGTTGAAGATACGCTTTGGAAATTTAAATTCAACTTGAAATAAAATGTTATTAGCTATTGCGGGCTTTTGCTGTCTTTAAAATAATCTTTATTAAGGTTTAGAGTAGAATTTAAAATTATGTTTGAACAGACAAAGTGAAAAAGATGATGTTATTATTTTAACTAAATAGTTAGTTTAGTTTCAATTTAATTAATTTTGAGCTAATTTACAAAGATTACCTTAAAAAGCTCAAATAAATCAACTATGTTGTGAAATAGAAGGATAATATACCAACGTCATAATCTGTAAATTGGATGGGAAATTTTCAAACTGATTGTGATTTTTATCCTATTTTCTTAAATGCAGTAACATCTTGACCACAAGTCGTTTGACTCCGGGCACTGCCCACTTTTTAACTCGGCGCGTGCAATGTTCCCGGCCAACAGGTCCAACCGGCTCAATTAGAAGTGCACTTGTGCGATTTCCCCTTGATTTTGGGGATTTTTCAATGGTCAGTGGACCGTTTAAATTCGCTTAACACTCACACTGGGCTTTGGCCTCGTGGGCAATCAGAATACAAAGAAAAACCGCCGCGAACACTTTCATTTTTGCTTATATTTTAGTAACGATAACTTCCGAGTTGGATCGTTTCCAGCTGACCGATAAAACAGACTGTGAGATACCTGGAGTTGGTCCGAGCTTTTATAGCCGCAGCTTCAGCATCGTTGACTGCGCTCTCGGTTCTCGATCGTATCTTTAGATCGGGTTTATCAATAGGCGCCACTGTTCTCCGCTCTGCGGTTAAATCATAAGCAAGTGGCTAGTATTAGGTATATGTATCTTAAAGATGCGTGTCACTGGGTGACACTCAGGGTTTTCAGCTCCAAATTTATGCTTACCTCTCATTTTGGGTGCAACGAACTTGGGGATCCAAAGACCTCAAGTCAATGACGATGGCTAGAAATTCCTGGCTACGTCAGAAATATTTGACCAATAGGATTCAGCCTAATTGTACCGGAGTTACTCATCAACCTGACATGCAATATATGTTCTAAATAAATTGGAATCCGTTTATGACGTGACAAATTCAAGGGTATATGTATCTAATTAGGTGCTTGCATTCATTTAGTGGGTTTGCCCGTTTGTCATGCATCATCTGCAAGAGACCTGTACTTGTAAATGATATATGGCAACTACAACAACTGTATATCATGCAAAGTCCACCGGCAGAACAAAATCCGTCATTCCCCGGGATGCCTGGTGATTTACCAACTAACGAGGTTCAGCCCGGTGTCGTCCACATATGTAAACCAGTTCCTAATGCGGAGAAGATTCTGAAAAATTTCCATAAGCAAGGGGAAAAAATATAATACGAAGACAAATAATTTAATACGAATTTCCAATAAATTTTATAATATCAAGAAATCTTTCAAATTGATAAGAAATTATTAAAGTTCAAGTTTTCACTTTTTAGGCATCCAAGTTCAACGTACTAAACATTTATTGATGCAAAACTAAGATGCCAAATGAAAACCAAGATTATTTCTTTAAATGACTTTTAAACGACTAACCTTTACTCACATTTAAAAAATATACTACGTAAGCTGCGTTTTTAAAGTGACAAAAACAAACTTAAGCTTATTGAACGCATTGAACTATACTTTTGTTATTAAATTTATATTTTCTTTATATTCATTTTTTTTTTTTATTTTTAATAATTTCTTTTTCTCTGTGCAGCTTGTAAATGAGCTTCGAATTGGTTTATTGCCCACAGAACTCAATGTTTCTTCGAAATATCTAGCAAAAACAATCTTTGTGGTATTTAAGAGTCAGTTGGTGCCCGGAAATAACCACGGGATACATTTTGGACATTTGATACTTTTATCCATTTGATTTCAAAGGCTGAAACCCGAGCAAACCCTTTAATTTCCTGACATTTCCCTTTCGTTTGCGGGTTGTTAACGGGATCAACATGTTACCGCAAAAAGGGTTGAGCAGACGGCGAAGTTAAAACGCAGCACGCGGTAAATGTCAGCGCCAGATAAGCGAAGTCTTTGTACCCCGGAAAAAAGGGCCCCAGGTCAGAGTTCGTGGCTTTGTCCCGTTTCGCGATGTCTAATTAGGCGTGGTATATGTAAAATAACTCAGCATCCGCTGTTAAATGGTGGAAAAAAATTTCAACTTGACAGCGGTGGGATTCGAACCCACGCCCTTTCGGACTGGTGCCTAAAACCAGCGCCTTAGACCGCTCGGCCACGCTGCCTCAACGAAGCGCCATCTGCCACCTACAAAACAAAAGGTTCTCGACAAAAACAGTGTTTATTTTCTAAAAATAGAACATAGATTCTATTTATGCAATTACTCGCTGGTAATTGTGTTTGTAATTACACATACGCTAATATAAATTTTTTACATAAAATACTTTATTTAATCGCTAATAACACATTCAAGCTGTTGTTCTTTTCTAAATTTTGCTTTGACGGTCTGAAAAAAGAATTAGCTCCATTTGAACGTTTAACACATAAACTGAGTTAAGCTTTAAGTTAAACAAAAATTAATCACACTTTATAGAGTTAAGCAGAATGTATTTAGTCAGGTTCTTAAGCCATAAAACCTCATAAGCCATAACATATTTACCAAATTAGAGCAACAAATGACACAATTAATAACCCTTACTTTAAAGCAGGTTTCTTTAGAACTTTTGTTTTTCTTTGTTTCTATTTTGAACAAAAAAGTGGTACACTGAAAAATCTTAGGGTAATGTTGCGCCCGGTAGAAATTATTATTCTCAACACAATATATATAAATTATAAATTAAAAACTTTTAAGTTAACCTTAATACAATCTTTTACAAATGCTGAGTAAGTTATTAGCACATGCTAAAAAAAGATAAACGAGATAATTAAAATAACACTTGTTTTTTAGCACCTTCTGAATAACTTAACTTTCAACACTTATTTACTTGTACTTATTTATATGATGTACTTAATCTAATTGTTTATATTCTTTCATTTATTTTTTCAAGTTCTAAAAAAAAGAAAAAAACTGTGACAGCGGTGGGATTCGAACCCACGCCCTTTCGGACTGGTGCCTAAAACCAGCGCCTTAGACCGCTCGGCCACGCTGCCTGTGAACGTTTCGTGTCAAATGAATAATTTCAATATAGCAGCTGTTGAGTTCATATGCTACGGGATTGCTGGCATAATTTTGGGGTTGGTCTTTGAGCAGTGTTGCCGAGGCTTGTTCAAAAAAAGTAGTAAGAATAAAAGTAGGTAAAGAAATTTAGTAAATGCATGGGCGCCTTGATTAAAATAAAGAAAAATAAATTTTTGCTTCGAAAATTCACTAAGCTATTTTAAGAACCTTCGGCATTGACCGCTGTTTAAGGTCATAAGGTCGCTCACTCAGTACTTTATTGTTGCTTTACGATTTTACTATTTGCAAAGTTCAGCGATAGTTCAATCCTACCAGAAGCAAAAACTTTACGAGCGACATCGTCATCGAAGCGATTCTAATTCATTGACAAACGCATTTTGATTTTGCGATAATGAGAGTGGGGTGGGGTTACAGCAGTGGTTCGGGACACCTTTGACTCTAACTTCCCTTTCGTTTGCTATTATCCCCCTTCTGATGTCCTGAGGTCGCACCCCGCTTTGTTATTTTACGATTCCAACATTTTGCAAAGTTCGCCAAAGACGTAAAAAATATATGCTGTTGTTTTTGTTGTATGATTTGCATGCCCTTATACAGGGTAATACAAATTGTATATACATTATGCCACTTATAATTTATACTTATAATTACAAAATCACATTAAAATTTATTTTCAACTAGTTTTATCAAAACAAAATATTTAATACATAGACGAGAAGGGGAGTTTTTCTTTAAGTAATTATTATATTATTTTTTTTACATTTACATCACAACATTTTCTTTGTATCAGTACCAAATTTATTTTTATGTAATTGTTAAATTTCTTGCAAGCTTGCAAGGGTATTAAATATTTCCTTGTGCAAATTCATGCTCTACCTCCGTTTTTTATAGAGTACAGTAACAGAAGCTACAGATTTAATAGCCTTTTTATATGGCCATAGTTTCGCTTTCGCACTGGCATTTTACGAGCGTTTTATAACTTGTTTACATTAGGCGAGTGAGCTGGCGAACACCACCCGAAATGTCACGTAACGGAAGTGCTGGGAATCATTTTATGCAAAAATCTATCAAATCGCTGGCGGGCTGCATAAAAATCGTCGTAAAGCGATTGCTTGATTCAGAACCATAGCAGCTGACACAGACTATTTGTCAGGGAGAAAGATCCGAGATTGGAGCGGTGCAACGAAGCGATTTCCTAAAGCGATTCTGTGGAGAATCGGGGATTAAATGGATTAGATATTGACCGAGCGGATCCGCTATTAAGGCTGCCAATGGATGAAATGATGCAGGTGAGCGGAACTGTGGCGACTGTGGCCCTGCTCCTGTTGATTTTAACCCAACTTCCGGAAATCCAGTCACGTCTTTCCAATGAGGCCATTAAGATTACACATAACATAGATGCAGCAATGGGATCTATGGAAAGGAATTTTGAAGCGGGCTTTGGAATCGATTCTGAAGAATCCCGCATCATTTCCGATACATTCGTGAGCTAAATTTTCATGAATTATGGTCGAAAAAAATTTAAAATTTTTCACGTTTCCCCTTTTTTTTCCAGGCGAAATTGGGAGATTACATAAAGAAGGAGACCAATCAAATTAGAAACCAAATTACCCTTCCCAAGGGAACGAAAAATCTTATTTTGGATATCTTGTCTAATTTAATACAATAAAAAATGTAACTCGATATATAGATGTACCTTTTTGCATTTTGCAATCTTTCTTCTCAACAAAATTGGAATAGGCTCTACCATAACAATATTAAAAACCCCAAAGTAGACATAATCGAACTTTAGAAAACTAAAAGTTAAATAAAATCAGTGCTTCGAATCGAAGTTAAGTGTATCGAAATGATTTTCCAGACAAGCCCTTTCTGAGTTAATTTACTTTAAAGCAGTTCCACGATGACAGCCCTTTTAGTAGTATATCTTGCCTTTTTACTTTTGTTTGCTCAACACATCCAGGCAAAGAAAATCACCTATAGAAATATAAAAGAAATTGGCGAAAAGAACGGTCGGGAAATGGAGAAACAGCTTGTGAGCAAAACTTTATGTTTCTGTGAAGTTGAACTAACTAAAGATATCTCTCCAGCCTAATTTAGAAGATAAAAATCACAACAGACATGATAAAAAGGTGTTCAACATCGATCCAGGTAAAAACGCCCACATTCGTTTCTCTTTTCACCCACCTAAAGGAAGAAGCCCATCGACTGGAATGAAGAAAAAGGAACCAGAGTATTTCCTCAATTTTGTATTTGACAATTATCATAATCCAAAGAAGTCTCTGGATCGAGACACTATTTTAAAAAAACTAAAAATGCGACGAACAGGAAAGCGATTACTTCCTAATGGAATGTCCAATCCTTATAAATTCTTTCCGCTAAAAGGTGAAGATATGTAGTTATAATATTTCACCATGTATTGTTTTGTTTACTTCGCCAACCAAGCCAAAATGTTTACTCACTGATAATAAAAATAACTTTTTACTGCTAATTCATTCACAAATAAAAAAACCTGAAAATTGTAGATTGATAAGAACAAAATTCCCAAGCTAATAACAATTTGGGATTCATAATTTGTTATCAAGTTAGCAATTTAAAAGAAAATAAACTGAAATCGTAAGAATCAATGAACATGCTATTAAAAAATTGTAAATCACAATTGGTTATCAATACATGTTTGCGATTAAGAAGAAATTAAATTAAGAATTTAGTTTGTAATCGAACTATAACTATTTAAAGGTAATAACAAAAAATATGAATTTTAAATTTGTTCATTACCTATATATGCACTTAAAACATAATTAAGGTATTTAATCAAATGCCAGACACTTTCAGATAACGGCCCAGACCTAGGAGACACTAAATTCCTTATCTTGTATTATTTTGGGTACTTTCCTTTCCTAACCAAAAAAACTTAAGGAAGTAATTGTTAAAAGTCATATAGGGTTTAAAGTAGATTGATCACCAAGTGGGTCTTAGATAAGGACTTTAGACCTTTGATAAAAATACAATATTTTTGGTATATAAGGCATGAAAAAATACGGAATTATCTTTAGTTCGATATCCAAACATGAAAATTATAGTAGTCAGTCTGTTGTTGGCGGTTTTCCTACTGGAACAACACCAAATCACCGCCAAAAGTGTGCTGAGTACTTTGGTAGGAAAATATTTTGGAAACTTTAAGAATAAAAAAAAAATTAAATTAAATTATTAAATAATCAACGTTAGGCCACCGAAATCGCTCCAGATGCCTCCGTTTTCGGACATGAATTAGGGGAGGAGGGCGCTCAATTTGGTCAAGAGGCTGCCAAAACCATCATTCAATATGGCCAAGCTGCCGTAAGTCTAATATAATATAGTAGGACTTAATTTTGCAATATAAAATGTATTTTCTTTATAGGCAGATGCTTCCTCCGGTTGGGAACTTGGACAGGATGGCAATATTTTAGGTCAAGAATTGGGAGATGAGGGCACTCTTTTGGGACAAGAAATCTCAAATAGCGCCAATCATTTTTGGCACAACGTCTCCCAGAAAACGGTTAGCTAAACAATTTCTGCAGTTTGTCAAAAGTAATTTTAAAAGATTTTCTTTTCCTTTTAATAGGAACAAGCAGCCAGTGCGGAACTTAGTTCCTCGCAATCCTCAGTAAGTTAACTTACGCTATAAAGGTAGATACAATATTTTTAATAGTTCTTGTCTTTTTTTTTATTTTAGAGCACCTCTGGCGAAACTAAGGTTTGTTTACTATCTAAGCCCTTTTGATTAATTTTAACTCAATTATTTAACCTATCACATCTATAAATGATGTTCTATTTAAATACTTTCTTTTCTTAATCTTCAAAATTTGTTTTCTAGAAATCAATCACTAAGAGGGAAATCGTTAGTGGTAACGATAACCCTTCCGTTACTTGTGCTTGCACCTGTTCCAGTGATGGAGATGTCATTAAAGTTTCAAAAAAGATCGCAAATGCTGCTGGTAAAATTGCTGATAGCGCAGCAAATGCTGCCAGCAAAGTAGCTGGAGATGCTGCAAGTGCTGCTGGAAGTGTTGCAAGTGCTGCTGGAAATGCTGCCGGAGATGCAGCAAATGTTGCTGGTAAAATTGCTGGAAGCGCAGCAAATGCTGCCAGCAAAGTAGCTGGAGATGCTGCAAGTGCTGCTGGAAGTGTTGCAAGTGCAGCTGGAAGTGTAGCTGGAAGTGTTGCAAGTGCTGCTGGAAATGCTGCCGGAGATGCAGCAAATGCTGCTGGTAAAATTGCTGGAAGTGCAGCAAACGCTGCCAGCAAAGTAGCTGGAGATGCTGCAAGTGCTGCTGGAAGTGTTGCAAGTGCTGCTGGAAATGCTGCCGGAGATGCAGCAAATGTTGCTGGTAAAATTGCTGGAAGCGCAGCAAATGCTGCCAGCAAAGTAGCTGGAGATGCTACAAGTGCTGCTGGAAGTGTTGCAAGTGCAGCTGGAAGTGTTGCAAGTGCTGCTGGAAATGCTGCCGGAGATGCTGCAAATGCTGCTGGTAAAATTGCTGGAAGTGCAGCAAACGCTGCCAGCAAAGTAGCTGGAGATGCTGCAAGTGCTGCTGGAAGTGTTGGAAGTGCTGCTGGAAATGCTGCCGGAGATGCTGCAAATGCTGCTGGAAACATTGCTGGAAATGCAGCAAATGCTGCCAGCAATGTTGCTGGAGATGCAGCAAATGCTGCTGGAAATGTTGCAAGTGCCGCTGGAAGTGTAGCTGGAAGTGTTGCAAGTGCTGCTGGAAATGTTGCGGGAGATGCAGCAAGTGCTGCTGGAAATATTGCTGGAAGTGCAGCAAATGCTGCCACCAATGTTGCCGGAGATGCAGCAAATGCTGCTGGAAATATTGCTGGAAGTGTTGCAAATGCTGCTGGAAATGTTGCCGGAGATGCTGCAAATGCTGCTGGAAATATCGCTGGTGACGTTGGAAATATTGCCGGAGATATTGGCCAAGCCGCCGGCAACATTGCTGGAGATGCAGCACATGCTGCAGGCAACATATTTCATGCAATATTTTAGAGTGGATATCTTCCCTTAAACTTATTTAATCCAATAAATAATCGAGCAAATTAAAAAAAACAATCATTTTAAATTTACTTAAACACCAGCACTTTAGATAATCTACTTTCATTGTTTATTTTGACTTCTGGACAAATGAACTGCGATTATTTTTGTCTTCTGTTATGAGGACCCTCTTAAGACTGTCTTTTGAAGATTGTATAACATTAAAGATACCGTAAGGAATACCCCGAAATTAAGTCAAATAACTAATCAATCAGAATCAAAATTTGCCGACACTCACTCGGGAATCATTAACCACTTAAGTGTGATTTGTTTTTATTGGCGGCGTCAAAGAAGTCGGTAACTCCCACATAGCCTTTCAGATAAGAATGGCCTATAAATGCAATGTGGCTACCAGAAGTTAATTAGTAATTCATTGAATTTACGAAACGCAACAACATGCAGTCTTCGACAATCCTAACCATTTTTGCCATCGTCCTGGTGGCCCAAAATGCGAAAGCTGGTACCCTGAACTTTGGATCCCTAATGGGGGATGTGTCCCAAGTGGCCGTCGCTGGGGAGAAACTCATCCACCAACTGGAAAACGCTGTGGCTAGTTCCCAATCGGATTTCGTTCAGCCAACGACTCTGAATATACTCAGTGATATGGGAAACGCCTTGGGAGATCTGGCTGTAAGGGAACTATTTAGGTGGTTTTCATCTAAAGAAGATTTTCAATGTATCTTTCCTAGAATGCCATCACTAGTCTAAAAGTGGAGGATAACTATATGCAACCCGAGGCAACCAATCTTCTAGGTGATGTCCTAGGTGGAGTTGGCACTGGCCTAGGAGATTTGGCAGTAAGTTGCAGATCTATAAAAGTCATTCCAATAAAGTCTAATTATTAATCTTCATAGAATGCCATTACCAGTCTCAGTGTTCAAATGCAGACCGGTCCCCAAGCTCGCAGTCTTTCGGTAAGTTTTAAAACAAGGTATTAGTTTTATAGAAATATTAATGATTGAACCTACCCTAAAAACAATTTTTAAACATTTATACATTTTTAAAGAACCCAAAGGGAGTGAGAGAACTCATAAGTAAACTTATAAAAACCATTTTGTGTAGTAAGAAATGAAAGGTGCAGTTATTTCTACAAATGCTGTAGCAAGAATATCTCTCCTAGGGAAGCCAACTAAGTTGTTTAAAGTTTTACGAATTTAATACATATGTGGTTTAATTTTGTTTAGTTATAGTATTGATCACAATAACCGAAACTTAAACATATATCCCATAAACCTCTTTTCTTAGTCTGATGGCGCTTCTATCATAGCCGAAGGAGGAGTAAGTATATCTGACAAAAATTGTTGTAAACCATGATGATAATGTTATCGTTATACATTTGATTTCCAGGCTGTCAGTGCCAAGACAATTGCCGCAGCTGCCGATGCCGCTGCCCCCTATATAAAACAGCTGAATGCTGGCCTAGGCGATCTGGCTGTAAGTGGTTCTTAAAAATTGTTGCTAATCTGATGAGTAATGAATAATACTCCCCCTCGCAGAATGCCCTCACCAGCCTCTGAACAACTTTGAAGCAGTTCAATTAACAAATAAATATTCAATCGCATAAAAAGCTTAGTGAGTGTTTCTTTTGTGTTCCAATTTGGGCAGAGTCCCTCAACAAGTTGGGCCTCAATTAGTTGGGCTGTTGTGAAATCTAAGAACTGTAAACAAGGTCGGGTTCCCAATCGAAAATGCGTGCATCTGCTCTTGGTTCTAGATCCCCAAAGGGGGTTTGTATCAAGAATGGAAAATGGAAAAGGGGTCAAATGATACGTAAATCGAAGTCGGAACACGTGATTGCCAACAACATTAGGGGATCAAATTTCAAAAAAAAAAAAAAAATTAAAACCATCAGGAGAAGGAGGAAGCGCCATACACACATGCCGGTTTTTGTATAATTTTTATTATGACAAGTAGGTTGCTTTTGTTCTCAAGCCTCCAGAATTGGGTCATCTCGTAGGGGAATGGGAAATATATGTGGGGCTCAGGGACAAGGTATGAGGGTCACACTACTCCGGAAGACATTCCCTGAACTCGTCGTCGTAATTCTTGCGTTTCCAGAGGCCTGCCATTAAGTTGCTTTATCGAGCGTCAAATTTCGATTCTTCCTCCTCCGCTTACACACGATCTCTCTCCCCCAAGGAAAAGTCGTGCCAGCCAGCTCTACAGACCTGTAATTATGAAAATTAACAACCATTTTGGTAATTAATTTCGGCAACCCTTTGGTCGCCTCTTAGCTTTGTGGCACCCATAATCCCGCATCAATTAAAATGCACAGGCCGTAATATCCACCCACAAAAAACGACTGACCGAGGTGCGTGCGACCACTAGCTGGATAAATACTTTAATAGTCGAAAATTTAGGGGTACAGTTGTTATCGGGTAACCGAAACCTTAAACAAGCTCTGAGCTGACTAATTGTTTTTGAATATCCGAAGTTATTAAACGATGCTGAATAAATTGGTATTGGTATTCCTTGTATAAAGGTTTCAACGCAAACTACTCCCTCAGTGTTTAAGTTATTTGAAAAAACTTAGCCAAAACTTTTTTCGAAACTTTCGAAAATGGTTTTGCAGAAAAGTTACCTAAAACCTGCACTTTTAATGCCATAACTTTTCTCGTAGCAATCCGATTTAGGAGTAGTATACCTCTAAAAGCTTGTGGTTCAATTCCCTAAAAATCTGCATTTAAATTTTGATTTTTTCTTTTTTATCGATTTTTTTTAAATTTTTTATGGGGTTTCCCATTTCGAAATTTTCCAAAAATAGCTTTGCAGAAAAGTGACCTAAAACCTGGACTTTTAAGGCCATAACTTTATTCATAGAAATCCGATTTCCAAGTGGTATTCCTCTAAAAGATTGTGGTTTGATTCCCTAAAAATCTGCATTCAAATTTTGGTTTCGATTTTTTTGGTCGATTTTTTGTCATTTTTTGTGAGGTTACCCATTTCGAAATTTTCAAAAAATAGCTTTTCAGAAAAGTGACCTAAAACCTGCACTTTTAAGGCCATAACTTTTCTCATAGCAATCCGATTTCCAAGTGGTATACCTCTAAAAACTTGTGGTTTAATTCCCTAAACATCAGCATTCCAAACTTAGTATATCTTTTTTGGTCGATTTTGTCATTTGTCATTTATTATGATTTCAACATTTTTCGAACTCCCAGTCAAAGGGTAAAAGTATAATAGTAGAAAACGTTTTAAATATTTTGCGACAGTCTTTGTTGGTCAGCTTTGGGCCATTAATTGGCGGTTTGACAGCTGAAGACCTCAACAGCGGAATCGACGGATCGCAGTCGGTTGTTACCAGTTGTGTGGGTGTGATTCGGTAATTGAATAACACAACCCTCTTCACTTGCTCACAAACATACATATATGGGATATTTGCAATGGATCGGAGGGGAAAAAACGAGGGGGAGTAGAATCAAGAGGGGGCCGTCCTGCCAGCCAATTGTGCAAATCGAGTTGGCCCGGCAACCGGTTTCGGCCAGTTTCTATGTTAGTGGTCAAGGTCTAAGGAGCAGCGGACTTGTGGACGGACTCCTCTGAGGAGCGGCCAAATGAATGCTGCCAAAGCGGAATAAACAATAACAGCAGGCCCAGAGAAGAGCTGCAGAAGGCCAGGCGAAAAAAAAACCACAACGAGCGGAAAACAGAACCAAAAGGAGTCACGAGAATTGCATAAACAATGTATGTACAAAGTCTGTCAGAGTACGTACATAAATTGAGTTATATATAGCTGGGGGGAGCCAGTCGGCTTTAAACACCAGGGTGCCTCAGGTCGATATTTAATAAAAACATTTCCAAGAGAAAAACTATGACATTTTTAAGAATTAAAATATTAATAATTAAATAATAAAATTAGGCTTGGAAAATGTTGTATAAAAACAATTTTTTTTATCTTAAACGTAATCAAAAATTCGATTTTAAAAATTAAAAATCCATCTAATGTGAAATAAAATTCAAACTTAAAAGGTTGTAAAGAAAGTGAAGAGTTCTGCACACTCATGACATTATTTTTAAATTTGTATGTACAACATAAATTTGTGTTTGGCACAACCTTTAGATTTAAGTAAATCGTTTTCTTCCACATTTAAATATTTATATATATTTGCGATTAACATAGTTTCTGGCCAACCAACCCACCGTCAACCTTGAAATGATAATTCTCCCAAGATCAAGAGTTAACCACCCTGATTTTCGACGCAAGGGGCACGCACATGCATCATGCAACATGCAACTGCAACAGCGGCGTGATTGCAATGCAGCAAGAAAAAAAAGCTGCAATATGCATCGAAGTGGCATCTAAACAGGCATATGTACGTGCCTCGTTAAAAAAAAACTGCATTTACTCGTGGCTGCAATGGTGTTTGTGTGTCAAAAAGGGTTGCCAAACCACTTTTAGAGCCTTATGTACACAATACACAATGCACACAGGACAGGAGAAATCCCTATAATGAACATTTTTTCAGCCGCAGAACTGGTTTTCGATTACGTCGGCGCAGTCTTTGCCCCTCGGCCCACCGAAAAATTTGCAGAGAGAGAGAAGCCAAAGGTTGTCTTATCGACACTTGACCAAAACCAAAAGTAAAACCCAACCGAGGTCTTCATGGAAGATACGAATCAGAGATTTGGTCAGCTATCGATGCGCGCCCACGACTCGAAAATATCCAATTGCAGCATTAATCGCCACAATTTCAGCCTGTCAACTGTCACTCCCGAATAAAAACTTTCGGGCCTTTGTCTATAATTTGCGACACTTCACACGCACATCAGCAACAGCTTCATTAAAATTAATTAATGCTCAGGCACACATTAAAACGAGTACACTAAGAAAAAAGTCCTTGGTCAATTTTGTTTGATATATTTTCAAAAACCTTTTCTATACATAAAAATGTCATCATAATATTTATTTTACAAAGTAAGAGATTCTTAGAAATCTCAATTTATTAAAATATTACATCGATCAAAATAATTCCACATCTGTAAGACTATAAGTTTTTGTTAAATATTTATAAATTGTTAAAATGTTTAACTATCGAAGTGTTTATACTCTATTTTCAAGTGTAAGAACACATAGAAACACCTCTAGGACTAAAGACCCAAAAGGGGCAGGGGATCGACATCATTAAGCTCGTATCATTTTACAATGTTTTCCTCGCCGCGGCAGCCGAAAAAATAATGCACAAATTAAATTAAATGAAGTGAGTGTGAAAATGCTGCAGGTGGAAAAAGGGGAGGGAGATGGCCGGAGGGCCGGGGCGGCTAGCTCAAATGGAAAGCCACAAAGTGCAAACGTTAAACAACCGACGGGGCCTGGTCAAAAGGAAACACGCTCAAGTGATTTCCATGCCACCAACAGACCCCAGATATGCCACATACATACATCTATAGTCACCTGTATTTTCTCGTACCCTCGTGTCTGCCTGTTGATGGTGAATCAAGATAAGCAAATTGTTGCCGAAAAATAGAGGCACAAAGGAAGCGATTTGGACGTTTTAATGATGATAGAGCATGACACAGAATAAATGAAAATGAAGTGTGGAAAAAATTCATTTAAATTGCGGGGTAAACAGAACCCGACAGCAAAAGTAACAGTTAAGCGATGGTGAAAAGAGTTTCGGTAGGTGAAAAGAGGAGTGAGTAACTCTTGATTAATGACTGCAAGGATTATTTTGGTTTATTTCGGAAGATACCACAAATGACAGGCACAATTGTGCTGACCAGCAAACTGAATAATTCTGTTAGGCAGATAATCAACAATGTGGATCTGTTGATTCTTTTTATAAAATTTGTATAATAGTGGCTTTAATTTCTCACTAATGAATAATTAAGTACAATAAATCTATAAAACAAATTATTATTTAATAACCCATAATTTGTATAAGAACCGCATTAATGTTTGCGTATGTTTGTATATAATATAAATTCAACAGAAAAATAAATTTTATATCCACGAAACCATTAAGGGTGCCAGCTGAACAATATGCTAAAAACGATCATAAAATTAAGCAAATGTGCACTGCATCCTCTACACATGTCTTCACACATTTTATACAGACACATGCATTTGCAAGCTGCTCCTGATGTTTGCCGTAAACAAAAGTTTCGATAATTATGATAATTCTGTTTTATACTCCGGTTCCCCAAGTTCACCATTTCCCTTCCTTCACCTTTTTCCTGGTCGTCTGCCTGTCAAATTGTCGTTGTTATAAAAAAATATGTCCAAAATATGAGTAAACGTCAAGTGTGTGCAAATGGCAGTATACAACAACATATTTATATGCAGAAGTACACTAAAAAAATTATTTTAAATGTTTAAGGAAAAATTCATTTTATTATTAGAAATGTAAATATTTCTTTTAAGTAATACAAAATCTTTCTAGGAATTTAATTTCGTAAGAATGTTTAAAAATCCTTTAACAACATAGTTAATGTTCTTTAATAAATATTTTATACTACTGTCATGTTTTTTATTTCAGTGCACCTATGCTCACAATCATATATATAAAGATATGTATTTAGTATGTTGTGAATGCATCTTTCTTGGCTTTTTTTGTGGTCATGCTCAAC